GGGGAGCCGCGCCTCACGGGCGAGCGACGGCCGTTCCGCATCGAGGGCTACGGAGAGACCACCGAGGGCGACGTCAAGCTGCGCAACCGCTGGCTTACCGTGTGGAGCCTCGCGTGGGCGGCGCCGTGAACGACTGCCAGAGCATGCCTTGCTGACACCGCGCGCCCTGGGTGTTTGCCTTTCTGATGCCCTTGCGGCTCACAGCGCGCCTTGCTCATGCGCTCCTGCGTCGGCGCGATGCGTTGTGGTCTGCCGCCTCGCCTCGCCACACCTCGACTCGCCCGCAGCTTCACCACCACACAGCGCGTCGTTGCGCCGAGCAATGCTGTGACTGCCAAGGTGCTGGGTGATACACGCGTGCTGGCGACATACGAGGGCCCGCTTTCAGCCACATTCAGGCGTCTCAAGCTGTTCTCGCTGGGCTCTCTTGCGCTGGCGAGCGTGCTGACGCCCGTGCTGTTGCTCGCCCCGGGCGAGATCTCGATGGCGGGCCGGGTGGGGCTGTGCATCACCGCGCTTGCCACGTCGGGCGTATCGACAGCGCTCATCGCCTGGATCGGAACACCGTACGTCGGCACGATGCGGCTGCTGGCAACGCCGCAGCGTCAGCACGTCATGGAGCTCAACACGCTCGATTGGAGGTTGCGCAAACAGACGACGCTCGTGTACGAGCCGGCCTTCCTCCGTCCCACTTCGCGCCCCTTCGCCGCCTGGGAAGTCACGAACAATGCCCCAGCACCGCGCGACGCGCCTCAAGCAGAGACTACAACCAAGGTCGCAGAGACCATCGACGACAAGACGGGCACATCCAAGGGCACCTGGGCTGTAACCTACGCGCCTGCCGCCGACGGTGGCGCGAGCGCAAAGGTGGTGGTCAAGGGTAAGCCGACGCGCTACTTTAATGTGCACGAGGAGCTGCTAGGTGAAGACTGGCAAGTCCTTGGCTAGATCCTCACGCCGCAATACACATCTTCGCGACAGTTTGTAGGGGAATGATGTGGTTTAGACATTGCGATTGGGAGATGGATGGCGGGAGGTTCAAGTGAGGCTCTTGCCCATGAACCTTCTCTTTGTGAAAGCGATCCACCACTTGCTGGGGGTACCGTCAGCAAAGACCTTCTCCACGAGACGGGCCGCCGTTTCCTGTCTGAGCTGGGTGAGGTAGCCCCTGAGTTGATCCGCTTCTGCCCTACCGCCAGGTGGGGCGTAGAGGCTGTTGAGCGGGAAGTTGGCATCACCGGGGAGGGCGAAGCTATCGACGGCATAGGTGGCGAGCTGCTTGTTGGCTTCGTTTGTGGACCAGGGCACTTTGGATGCGGCGATCTTGGTGAGACAGTCGGAGATGAAGAGGATGAGGTAGATGAGGACGCGGTCGGCGGGGCCCTTGATTTCAAAGTTGCGGAAGAGCGAGTTGGCGCGGAAGAGGTCGATGCTTTCGTCGATGATGTCAGGGCGGGAGGGGTCGATGGGGGGTGGAGCGGGTCCGCGCGTGCGAGAACGGATGGGAAGAAGTGACATCGACCCAATCACCCGCACTTCCGGCTCCTCGTTGTACGATGAATGGTATGCCTACATCCCGCACGAGCCAAACCGGAATCAGTCAAAGCCAATTCCGAATGTGTGTGTGTGTATGCGTATCTGTGACTTACTGGCATGTTGAAAAAGCGGGTGATGCTAGGATGGTTGAAGGTGGACGAGAGATGGCTGGATCCTGACAGCTCCACTTGAGTCGAGCGTCAGCCAAACTCCCAAACTCCCAAAGCTGTGCCCATCTCGGCTGTCGATTTGGAGCGCATGGCCCCAGCGCGCTGCTCGAATTCTCCAGTATGTCAGATCTACAACTCCCTCCCCCGCCCGCCCCGCACGTGATTGGTGCCTCCCTCCCACCTCCATCCTTGCTTCTCCACCACCAAACCTGCGTTGCTTGAACAATGACGATGCACGTGGTAGCCGATATCCACATCTCGACATCCGCCTCCTCGGCCCCTCTTCCTCCATCCGCACTTCCCCTCGACAATGCTACGCACTTGACGCCTTCCACCCAACTCCGTGTCCCCGTGCACGCAGACGGGCATGCTTTGAACAACCTCGCAGACTCGATCGACTCGACACGCGCACATCTCAACACAATCCTCACTACCTGGAAGGACTGGGCCGGAAAGGAAGCCGCCCCCGCAGGAACTTTGCAGCTCAAGCAAAACGTTGACGGCGAGCAAGACCAAGATGAAGACCAAGATGAAGACCAAGAAGACGAAGAGTGAACTCCTCTCCTGGCCCGATCTCGACGCAATATACCCCTCCCAGCATCGCCTCTACCACCAACGTCCTCGCTCAGCCTGCTCAATGCATCGCTTTCATCATCGCAAAACAGACCTTGCTCGACACTGATAACATTACATACAAGTACAAGACCTGACAAGAGGCGCGGCGCGGTGTGGACTGGCCGCCATGATTACGAGACCGGGGCAGCAGCGGGCGCCTCGGTAGCAGCAGTCTCGGTCTCGCCAGCCAGCGCCGGGTCAATGGCTTCAGCTGCAGCTGGGGCGGCGGCTGCATCGGCTGCCGCTGGCGCTGCCGCCTCCGTGGCTCCCTCGACGGCGGTCACAGCAGCCTTGTCAGTCGCCTGCGCGGCGGCGGTGCTGCTGCTGCTCTCGGCCTGCGCCTCCGCCGGCTGCTGCGGCTGCTCCTTGGCGTCGAGGTTGGTGCGCGAGTCCTCGCCCTCGTCGTCGATCTCCTTCTTGGTGCGACGCGTGCGGATGGTGCGGATGATCTTGTCGAGCGTCTCCTGCCACTGGCCCTGCC